ACAATGGCATTGACGACAATTCCGTCGAGTATGGCTAGTCCAACAAAGTACACCTGAATGGTATTAGTGTTTATTGACCTAATCAAAAGCGTTGTTCGTTTTGGTTTTTGCCCTAAATTGGAACAAACGCGCCAACCAACCCCTTCGTGGAATGAGCCATGCCATCCTTGACTTGGTCTATTCAGTTGATTGCGAAGGCCAATCAATGTCATCTTACGATCCTCCAGAATTTGATAACCAAATAGGCCCGACCCGGAAAGAGGAAGGGCGTCAATTTCGAGATTCATTCATTTTTCCCTGTGCTTCATTTTGCCTACATCAGCCCACTGATGCGCTCCGGAAGGAAAGGAGCGGAACAGCAATTATCTGTCTTATGGATAGTTAATTGTTCACATGAGGTTTCCCTTCCCTTGGTTTGCCTGGACGACGAGCTTGGTTTCGATCCCGTGACCGTCTGTGTGGTGGTCGGCTCCACTTTTCACCGTATTACCTCCGTTTGGCATATATTATTATTACTTAGGCTTCGTCGGCACTCGTTGAGCGTAGCTCGTAGTAGATGCATCGCGAAAATCCTCGCCTGGCTACAAATTTTGGGCCTTCTCGCAAAGGGATCGAGGAGCAGCGCTAAACTGATCTTTTACCTGTTACCTGGCTGCATGTTTGCCTTCTACGGATGCAACTTGAAAGCCGACAGTAGCGATGGCTGCTTGTGAGAGGCGGAACAGAGAAATATTAGCGGTCGAAGGGTTGTGGAAGGTGTTCGGTCATCACGCTTGGACATGGAGGACGGCCCACCTTCTGGTGGCCTACCATTGACAATGGGTCTAGGCTCCAAATTGGCTCCACCCATTGTCATTCGCACTGATTGCCTTCAGATGTTTTTCTTAGTAGTTATTTGTGCTGTTGAAAATGGGAGGAACCTTGTGGAAAACAGCATCTCTCGATGAGAAAGTGACCGAGCCGGTTGATCGATCCATAACAAAAGTGAATTCAGTAAAGAATAGTGGAATAATGAATAACAGTGGTATAGTCCATTGGAGAATCATAAGAAATGTCGTGACCTGAAGATGTTAGTAATTGAGGAATTTAGTTATTTATTTATTTATTTATTTGTTGCCTATCTCTTTTAGTTATTGGTTGTCCATACATCTGAATAGAAGCTAATCGCTCCCGACTACCGGGCCAGTCACCATTTCGGTTGTGGCTCTCATAGGAGAAGTACACAGCCCGCGTGACATCGATGAATAATATTGAGATCAATTCAGGGGATTTGAATTTACACTTTGAATATGATTTTACATAAAATCACTTTGTAGATGTGCCCATAGATCTCGACTCTGTGAAATCACAGGGACCAGGGCGAACTATGAGCCGTAAATATTCGGCCAGAACGATACCCTTTCTTGCCGTCTCTAAATTCACCTTCGTATACTCCCATTCTCTCCTATGTTCCTGCCTGGAACTATGCCCGAGTTTCCTCAAAACATCCATAAATCGGGAGGGAGAAGATTCAGTGAAATCATAACTCTTAAATTGTTGCGATTTCCGCAAACTTCTCAAAATTCTTATTTTGCGAAATTTCGCCGAAATTTTTCTAAAAAAATTGGGTAATCTACCTGAAAGCCTCTACATTTTAGTGTAGTCGACAGTTCACGTTGCGCATATACCGAAGGTACCACGCCCTCTCACTCTCACCCCTTCCTTTCCTACAAAGTTACTTACGCGCACCACGGAAATTCGGTAAATTTCAGAAAACTGGCCTTATTTGTTAGCGGAGGACATAAAATAAGCCTGCTTTAATGTGAATTCTGGTGTTTGGAAAAACTCTCCATTACAGTTTACGGATTAAAGTCACTGAACGCGATGACTGGAAGGCGGAACGATTTGATGACGTCGTTGGGCGTCATCGGTAGGTTGGTAACTGTTCCAACACGCTCATGCCGCCCTGAGGGTTTGATCCACCCATGGAGTTTAACGTGACGTCATCGAAATCGCTCCGCCCCACAGCCATGATCGTCGCTTTAGGGAAACCATACTTTTTGAGAGGAACCAGAAAATAATTGACTGCACACAAAATTATGCCGGCACGCAGCATTTTAGTACTGTCTGTATATCAGTTATATTTATAATTCTTTTATCCATTATTATTTCTTTATTTATGCAAAGAACCCTGAAACGAGGTAAAAGCTGACTAACGCTGCCTAATATATCGCTTTTTCTCTATTTTTTGAATGACAGAAAATAACCAACCTGTTCACTGCGATAAATATGATTCCGATGGCTTGTGAATGACCGAGATAATTCACGCCTGCCACTGGCACCACCGACCAGTTTTCTTCATAGAAGCTCTCCGGAAAGACGCCAAATATGGGAAATTTGAAAAATATTGTCGCGAATATAGACATCAAGATATCCGCCACTGAGAGGTGTATGCAGAGTCGGAAGAACGATGATGCAAAAGGAGTGTACGGATTTCGACTGCAATAGAAAGGCTGCTACTACAATAATTTGTTTAGTAGTAATTAGTTGATTAGAATAAGGTTAGCCTAGACAAAGAAGCGAACTCCGGCTTCGTATGGCACTTTGGCGGTTAAAGGCTAAAAAACCTGATGAAACGGATGTTTACGCAAGAGAAAAATGGGTGGCGAAAGCAAGGGTGTGTCCATGTCGACTATAGGTGACGCTTTCGCGACAGAAGGCGTGCTACCAACGACATGATTAAGCCAAGAGCCTCTCCGGTTCTCAGACACGCCCACCACCGGCACATGGATGAGGTGAAAAAGTTTTCAATGAAATGTTGTCGCCATCAAGTGGTTTTCTTTATATAAGTGCACTGTTGCATTGCATCGAAGCACCAACTATCTGTCGATCACCGAAGCCATTGTGCCAGTGTTGAACATCTCCCTACGACCTCTATAGCGTTAAACTCGTCCAGTCTCGAGATCAAAGGGAGGGGTAGGGTCCTTTTCTCGGGATTTTTGATCATATCTCTCCCTTTTCAGAAACTTCCAAATGGCACTTTACCTTTCCTATTTCACGGTATCAGTACATCGTGATCTAGCTGCTTTAACGGCAGACTATCAAATTATAACGTTGCGCGCTACGATTTAGCCTCACGCAGTGAAAAATCAACCCCACTGCTTCTCTAGGTCAAGCATGACCTCGCGAAAGTGCTCTATTACGACCCCTATCAATGTCCAACACGTCTGCTATCCTCCTAACAATCCCGAACATTTCATTGGCAGGGAGTGAAGTTACTGGAAATCTGGATCCTGCAAGCTGAACCATCAGTATGATTCCCCTTTTTGACGGTAATCAGATATCATTCATTCTAATGCGGATTAAATGACGTAAGTTCGACCTGCTCTACCCCTAGCGCGTGAGTATAGGAATCATCGACGCACGTCTGAGCTTAAGCCATTAGGGTGGCATCCATTTCAAAGTAGTTCCCCATCTCTAAATGATTCTACTGACCGTTTCTCAACAGTTTTCCTAACGAATACCAGGCGCAACATTTCAATAATATAATTTAGGCGTGTTGGTTGAGCTTTCGCTGGCCCTCAACCAACTGTGGGATAAATGCTGCGGTACTGGTACTATCCAATGCTCTTCATAATCTTCTACCCCTACAAAAAACGTACTTCTCCTTCAAGATGACATAGACGAACATAATATTGATTGGTAGACAAAGCAGCGAGAGTACGGTTGAAATTAGTTCCACTACCAGTGCCACAGTCATCATTTCGGCCAATTGCCTGAAATAGAAGATGTGAACATCTGAAGGTTGCTGTGATGTATCATCGTTTCAATTTTGTAAAACGTCTCTGAACCGGAACCTTGTGGGTCGTCTTATTAATATCTATTATGTATATTGTTATATAAGTTTTAATCAAATGGACTGTAGCTCTCACCAGGAAGGTCTTTCAGGGCGTGACCAAGCTTTTTGAAAACGGTCTTTTGCATGATTTTCCTGAACGGCCCTCTGAATACCAGAAAAGGGGGTCCCTAGTTCGATTCCTCGTGGTGACAAATTTTTGCATTTCGAGTTGACGTTCCAAAATTCGCGCAAAATGGAGTTCTGATTGTTCTGGTTGGTTCTAACTCCATTTTGCGCGAATTACGTCAACTCGAAATGCAAAAATTTGTTACCACGAGGAATCGAACTAGGGACCTCCTTTTCTGGTATTCAGAGGGCCGTTCAGGAAAAATTGAACATGGTTCTGTGGTTCCCGCATCTGCCCCTATATCATGCAAAAGACCGTTTTCAAAAAGCTTGTCACGCCCTGAAAGACCTTCCTGGTTAGTAATCTACTCCTGCAAAGATAGTTAGTAGCTGAACTTGTAGAGAATGCCTATGTTGAATTGAAGATTGAAGCTGGAAATTTGAGCTGGAGCGATAGATATGAAGTGAAATTATAGATTAACTAGTCAAGGATTTATGAAACATTGAAGAGGTATGAGAAGAGGGAGGAAGTGGGAACAGGTGGTTTAGTCTTTGTTTGAACAGTGTTCACCTTCCACTTGATGAGAATTGCCTTGCTCAAAAAGTGAACAGTAAATAGTATAGATTACCTGAGTAAAAGTGAAAATTGTCTGAACTATGCTGCGAATGTCTGCTGTTTTAATTTTATCGCTTTTTTGCAATTCACTCTATAAACTGCTTATTTGAAAGCAGTTTCCACAGTAACAAGAGTGAAGGGCACATGGCTCAAAATGAAGCTGTGATAGGTGATAATTATAAGAATTAAATACTCTCTTCCCATAGCAGAATTGTGAATATGTGACAGTATTTGTGCTAAGACTTTTAAAATTACTCTCTGTCCGTCGCTCCGGATCATGACAGGAATCCCCGCAGAGAGGTCATGTGAGTCCCGAAGGATACGGTAAGGGTGAGAAGTGGGCTCGCTTGCGAAGTGGCTCCGCCAGACACAGTGGTGATAGCCTTACAGACAGAAAGGAGTACAATTACTACGAACTATGCCGGGGTACCAGGTTGGGAGAGCTTGGAGGCTATTGAGCGCTATCGCAAGACACGGGGCATCCTCTAGGACTAAGCCTGAGAGTAGGCAGGAATTTCGGGGAATATGAGGATTTCGCCTCATATTCCCCGAAATTCCTGCCTACTCTCCGCCTTGGAGTCTCTCCTCCTCTGCCCAAGGCTTAGTCCCGGTTTTAACAAAAAAGAGGTGCTTAACGCGGTTCTAAATGCAATGACACCAGAATGCCCCCGTATCTTGCAATAGCGCCGTGTCACAAATTGTGAAATTCCAATGAAATGCCTGGAGGTCGTAGGAAAATTCAGCACGGATATTGCTAGAACTTTT